TTCCAATTCCAATCCTAATTCCAATTCCACCTTCAATTTAAATTCCAATCCCAATTTCAATTTCAATTCCAAACCCAATCTCAATTTCAATTCCAATCCTGATCTCAATCAATTCCAATTCCAATTTCAATTCCAATCCCAATTTCTATTTCAATCCAAATTCCTAGTCCAACCCCAATCTCAAATCCAATTCCAAACCCAACTGAAATTTAAATTTAAATTCCAACTCCAATCCCAATTTCAATTCCAATCTGAATTTAAACTCCAATTCCAACCCGAATTCAATCCCAATATCGATTCCAATTTCAGTTTCAATCTCAATTTTGATTCCAATCCCAATTCCAATTTCACTTTCAATTTAAATCCCAATTCCAATTAAAAATCCCAATCCTGGTTCCAATCCCAATCCGAATTTTGATTTCAATCCCAATTCCAAATTTCAATTCCAATCCAAATTCCAATTTCACTTTCAATTTAAATCCCAATTTAAATCAGCTTTTCCCCCTTTAAACCAGATCCATTCCCTGCTGCATTCCCAGATTTATCCCAGGCCATTCCCAGCTCCAGGATATTTTTCCCAGATTTATCCCAGGCCATTCCCAGCTCCAGGATATTTTTCCCAGATTTATCCCAGCTCATTCCCAGCTCCAGGATATTCTTCCCAGATTTATCCCAGCTCATTCCCAGCTCCTGGATCCTTTTCCCATTTTTTTTTTTTTCCAGCTGCTCCATGAAACTTTCCCCACCTCCAGAGCTTTTTCCCCATCCTGGGATTATCCAGTCATTCCCTGTGGGAGCCAGATTTATGGATTTCCAGGATTTCCAACTGAAAACCACCTGGGAAAGGGAAAAGTTGGGAATTCTCACCTCCTTCCTCCACTTGAGCTCGCAGAACACTCGCTCGAAGCACTCGTGCATGTAATTGAACTGTGGGGGAAAAACGGGAATCAGGGAAAACCCGGGGAAAATCCGGGAAAATGCAGGGAAAATCCGGGAAAAATCCAGGGAAAATGCAGGGAAAATCCGGGGAAAATCCGGGGAAAATCCGGGGAAATGCAGGGAAAATCCAGGAGATCCAGGGAAATCCAGTAGATCCAATGAAAATCCGGGGAAAATCTGAGGAAAATGCAGGGAAAATGCAGGGAAAATCCGGGGGAAATCTGGGAAAAATCCGAGGAGAATCCGGGGAAAATGCAGGGAAAACCCAGGAAAATCCAGGGAAAATCCGGGGAGAATCCAGAGAAAATCTGGGGAAAATCCAGGAAATCCAGGGAGGAATTGGGAAAATCCAGAGGAATTTCAGAGAGAGGAACCAGGAGCTCCAGGGAAAAGGGGGAGATTCTGGGAAGAATCCAAGAATTCCAAACAGGAGCTCCAGGGAGGAACCAGGAATTCCATCCCATTCCTGAGAAATTCTGAGTGGGATTTGAGGGAATTCCGGGCAGGATTTGCAGGAATTCCAGGTGGGATTTCCAGAAATTTTGGGCAGGATTTACAGGAATTCTGGATAGGATTTGCTGGAATTTTGGGCAGGATTTATAGGAATTTTGGGCAGCATTTCCAGGAATTTTGGGCAGCATTCCCAGCAATCCCAGGCGGGATTTCCAGCATT